CCCCAGACCCCACCCCAGTGCGCGCCCGCCTCCGGCCACACCACTCGCCTGTTCCTCTGGCCCCCCCGGACTCCAACCCTGCACCCCTCCCCGGCCAGGTAGGCCCAGGGCCTTTCACCTTGAAAGACTCAAAGAAGCCGCCCCCGCCGCCGCCGTTCTCCATCTTGTCCTCGTCGCCGCCCAGGCCCATCATGGACTGGCTGTGGACGTGCAGCTCCTCATAGAGCGTCTCCAGGAGGGCGGCCCGTGTCCGCTCCTGCGGGCCAGGCCGGGTTCGTCAGGACAGACCCGAGCGATCAGCCCCTCGTCCCACAGCGGGCATCCCCGCCGCCTTCCGAGTCGAGGGCCATCTCCTCGGCTTCCCTCAGGCCCCTCCAAGACCTGGCTTCAGTCCCACCCTCCAGCTTCCCCTCCCCCACGGTGTCCTCTGTCAGCCTGCCCACCTCCCAGCCCCTCCTGGCCACTCCTCGCTGTCCCTGAGGTGCCTGCTATTTCCTCTCCCCTGACCCAAGCCCCATCCATGCATAAATCCGCCCTCCCCCAGGAAGCCCCCCAAGGCCAAGGTCTGAATGTGGCTTTTCCTCCCCAGGGGCAGGGCTGAAATTCTAAGTTAAAAAGTGGGGGCCTCAGCCCCAACAGCCCAGCCTCACCTCCAGTTTGGCAAACTTCTCTGCCTTGTAGCAGGCATATTCAGCATTGATCAGCTTTGTCAGCAAAAATTCCTGGAACTCAGGCCCCTGGGAACCCCAGTGCAGAAGAGAGGAGAAGGCCGGGATCAGATGAACACAGAAATAAGGCGTTGAGCCCCAATGAGTCGGGAGGGAGCTCCTGAGCTGTGCCCAGCTGGGGCCTGGCATCACCCTCTTTGCTCCCAGGAGGGCATGTCCTTGGGCTCAGCTCCCCAGCCCAGGCCCCGTGAGGGGCCCTATGCCCTTCATAGTCTCAAACGCCACAGGTGTGAGGGTCTGTTTGGGGTCTCCCACCGCCTCAGTCTGGGGTAGTGAGACATGTTATGCAGGAGGCTGAAGCCAAGGCTGAAGTGTGGCTTCTGAGAGGTGAGAGAGACGTATGCCCCTCCCCAAACATTTCAGAGGAAAGGAGACTGTAACCGTCAAAAAGAATAGACATGAGGAAAGGCCACAGAGTCTGCTACGAAAAAGGTCAACCAATGGTGCAGTCTGTTCTGTGACCATGGGGAAAAAAAAAAAAAGGTCAGTTTTTATCAAGATAAACAGAAAGCCAGCCCCCGGTGGCACTATTAGGGGAGCCCAACTGCCCTGGCACACAGTGGGGCTTCAGGACCTTGTGAGGCAGAATGTGTGCCTCCCTCAGCCCCTACCCATTTAGTCCTGCTCTGCCCATGACTGGAGTTGGGGGCTGTCCTCACCTTTCTGAACACAGCGGGGTCCGGCAGGGGGGGCCCAAAGAAGGGCACGTCATCTCTCGCAGTGACAGAGACCTGGAAGGGAGGGCAGCTGTCCCTGTAGATTCCCGGGCCTTCCCTGCCCCACACCAGCTAGAAACTCCTAATTCACCTCCCTGCCCTGCCACCTGGTGGGGGAGGCTCAGTGACTGCCACCGAGATAAATCTTTTCTAGAAGGATTTGGCCCTGAATTGGCCCTGAATTTAAGGGGTGGGGGACCTCAGGAGTCATTGGGGATGATGAGGGCAGAGGAGGCTAAAGGAGGAAGAGGAAGGTGATACCAGGCCAGGAGGTGGAGGAGGGTGCTGGCCTCTTTAGGAAGTGGACTTTGGGGAGCAGAGAGGGCATGATGGGATTCTCCGTCATCAGGGCCCCTCATAGTCCCCCATTCCTTTTACAGTTAGAAAAACAGGCTCAGAGGCTTCCCCGAGGGGGTAGAGCTGTGGCTGGGGAGCTTGCTGGTGCCCCTGGGAGGCCCTGAGGCCACGCACCTTGTAGAGGGGGCCGTCGGGGCCCCCGCCCTCAATAGCCGCCTGTCTCCCCTGCCCCAACTATAGCTCACAAGTTGCGGGACTAGATCTTTCCATCTCTGTATCCCAGAGCCCAACAGTTGAGCCTAGTGTGGACACCGAATGGACAGGCAGGTGGGGCAGGCAGGGGGGAAGCAGGTGGGTGGGTGTCCCTTTTACCTGCTGGGTGTCCCCTTCTGTGTAGGGCAGCTTGGTGGACACGTGAAACATGATCTCCTTGTTGCGGAAGTTGCAGTACACAGACTCGGTCCCCGTCTGCCCGTGGGTCACATCCAGGCCTCCTCGGAACCTGCCCCCAGGTCCCCCAGGCCACAGCTCAGTCTCCAGCCCCAGCCAGGCCTCCACGGGGCCAGGATGGGGGCACCCTCCCTGCCCAGGAGCATGGGTCAGATTATGCTCTGCTTGGCTGGCTTTAACACTCACCCCTTAAAGTCCTGCAGTTTGACTTTCTGGCCAAGAAATTCAAGGAACTCCACAAAGGCAGGGCTTTCCTCATTGGTGCTAAAGAGCTCTTCCTCAGAGGTCTGGGGACCACACAGAGGGGCTAAGGTCACGGAGCTGAAGCTCCTGAGCAGCTCCTGCCCCCCACCCCCACTCGCACCTAGAGAGGGCCAGAGGGAAGAGCTCTGGCAGCGCTCAGGCTCCCAGGATGCTGAGTCCCTTGGCAAGGTCTCAACTGTAAAGGTCTGAGGCCCCAGCTATGGGACCAGGTGGGGTGGGGGAGGGAGGTGAGCACACCTGCCCCAGCTTCTGATAAATGACTCCAAATTTGAAGTTATTGCTGATGACATGCTCGTCGAAGGTGACGATGAGCCGGGAAGCCTGTGGGAGGGATGATGGGTGAAAAGACCGTGTTTTCAAGTGGCCATTCATGGAGCGCTTACCACCTGCCAAGTCCGTGCAGGGCTCTCTACACGCATCATGTCATGTAACCCTCAAAACAAGCCTATGATGGAGCCATTTCAGCAGTCCCCTCAGAACCTTGGCTTCAGACAGCTTAAGGAACTTCACAAGGACTGCAGCCTGCATGTGTGCAGGGCTGGGACTGGAACCCTGGTCTGTTTCGATTCCAAAGCTTAAGCTCATTGCTCCTGAGTTTTGCCATGAGCCCCTGTCCTGCCACAGCCAAGCCTGCCCCCACTCCACACTGTAACACCCAGCTCACTCCCTGGCTCCTCTGTAAACCCACATCATCCTTCTAGAACAGGCCATGTCCCACCAACCTGCTGTGGGACCTTGAGCAAGTTCTTCTCATCACCTGAGGCCTCAGTTTCCTTTTCTGTGACTAAGACGTGGACCTGATTTCTGAGGCCTCTTCCTTCAGGACACCTTTCCTGGACCACACCACCCCCTCAGGGACCTTGCCCTATTCCAGAATTCAGTCAGGGCCACAAGGGTTTACATGTCTTTTGAGGTTCACCTCCTCCAAGAAGCCCCCCTGGCTCATCGAAGACAGAAGCTCCTGCCCCTGTCCCCACACTGTCACAGCACCTGCAACCCAGCACCTGAGATGGAAGTGTAGCTGCTATCGGTGGGGCAGTGTCTATGGGGATGCCTGTGTCATTCTCTCTCCCCAGGTCTCCTCTAAGGTCAGAAGGCAGGGCCAGTGGAAGAGAGACCCATCCCAGGGGAGGCCTGGAGCACAGGTTGCCCTTGGGAGGGTCCCTGAATAGTACATGTTTCCAGATGTGAGTAAGGCCTGCCTGCAAGGCAGACATGCTAGGTTTAAATGCAGGCCCTCCTCGTCTGCTGTGAGTCCTGGGTAACGCACAGAACCTTTCTGTGGTTTCTATTTTGCAAACTGTGGGCTTTGCAGGGTTATGGTGAGGACTGAATGAGAGACCTTGGGAAAAATACCTGGCACACAGCAGGTGCCCAACAAATGTTCAGTCCTTCGGTTACCCACCCACCCCCAGTGAGCAGGGCCCAGATCCAGCCTTACCTTGGGGTAGAGCACAGGATAGAATCGATCCACATTGACATCTTCACACACCAGCTGCAGGAGGAGGAGAGGGAGGGTGTGAGGCTGGGCCAGACAGGAGGGGAGGGGGCCTCCAGGGCCTCACTGCCATGGTCAGGGGAGGACAGCAGCAGAAAGGAAGAGGGAGGGGCTGTGCTGGGAACAACTAGGCTTTAGCAGGACTGGGGGGCTCATTGTTGCTCAGAATGGGGCTCAGAGAACTGCGGTCCCCCGGGTTCTGCGGGTGCTAGGAGTGTCAAAAGCGTGCAGGTGGGGGACAGAGCCCAGGGAAACACATGGCAGCAGGGGGACATAGTAGGAACTCGTGAGAGGCAGGACCACAGAGACGGGGCTGCAGCAGGCAGGGCCCAGCCTGCAGCTGAAGAGCTGGCTGCCAAGGCAAAGCCACAGCCCGGCCGTGTGCTGGCCTAGGGGGCCTGACCCAGGAAGCTCAGGGAGCAGAGGCCTCACCTTCGCCATCTGGACCACATTGGGGAACTCGGTGAGGCAGGAGATGGGGATGACATCGTGGTATGTCCGGCACTTGGTCCTGGGAGGAGAAAGCTGCACGGTGAGGGGCTGGGCATCGGGACAGGGAGCTGGGAGCCCCTCCACACAAAGTAAGGCCAGAGGGGGAGGGCCACAGGGAGGCCCAGAAGTGATGACAGGCGTCAGGCCTGGCTCGGGCACTAATTTGCTGTGTGACCTCAGGCAAATCCCTGACCGTCTCTGGGCCTCAATTAGGAGAGTGGGTAAAATGAGATGGGCTCTCAGATGATAAGACCTCGGCCTTCCTGCTGTCTCAGAGCTCCCCCCACTGCCCTCACCTGAGCAGCAGCCGCAGGTGCTCTTGGTCCCCGATGACATCATACTTGAGAGAGAAGACAAGGTGGCCGAGGGCAGTGTCCAGAGAGTAGTAATTGAAATGCTCCTGTGGTGGGAGGTGGGGGCCGGGGGAGTGGGTGAGGCCGAGCCTGGGGCTTCTGGAAACCAGAAGCCAACTCACTCCCAGGTGGGGGTCCTTCACTAAGCAGCACATGTCACAGCAAATAGCAGACTTGGCATCAGACGGACCTGCATTCAAATCCCAGCTCTGCCACTTACCAGCTGGGCAGCTTGAGAAGGTTACTTCACCTCTCTGTGCCTCATTTTCCTAGTCTATAAAATGGGAGCGAGGCCACCTACCTCGATGGTGGCAGGCATGGAAAGGGATAGAGTGCCTGGCACACTCAGTGTCAATGCATGTTTGTAGTAACCTTGGCTCTCTGGGTCCTTGTCAAAGTCAGGACCACATCTGTACCTGCGTACCCGTCTCCCCGCCCTTGCCCTCCTCAGGGCTGGGCACACAGTAGGTGCTCAATAAGAAAAACCTGACAGCTGATTGCCCAACCTGTGGCTCTGTGGCCCCTGAAGCCAAGGCCTGTGAGAAAGAGGAAGTGAAACATCTCGTCACACACAGGGCGGCTGGCCCCAAATCCCAGCTCTGCCACTTACCAGCTGGGCAGCTTGAGAAGGTTACTTCACCTCTCTGTGCCTCATTTTCCTAGTCTATAAAATGGGAGCGAGGCCACCTACCTCGATGGTGGCAGGCATGGAAAGGGATAGAGTGCCTGGCACACTCAGTGTCAATGCATGTTTGTAGTAACCTTGGCTCTCTGGGTCCTCGTCAAAGTCAGGACCACATCTGTACCTGCGTACCCGTCTCCCCACCCTTGCCCTCCTCAGGGCTGGGCACACAGTAGGTGCTCAATAAGAAAAACCTGACAGCTGATTGCCCAACCTGTGGCTCTGTGGCCCCTGAAGCCAGGGCCTGTGAGAAAGAGGAAGTGAAACATCTCGTCACACACAGGGCGGCTGGCCCGGCAGGTTCTCGCCCTCCTGCCTCACCTGGAGAGGAGGGTGCGGGTTGGGAACAGCTACCCTAGAGGGCATAAGGGTGACTGCGGCAGGGATGGCACCCCCAGAGAGGAGCCCAGGCTGGCACCTCCAGGTGAGGAAGTCCCAGAACCGAGGGCCAGGAGTGTGGGGAGATTTCGGCCCAGCCTGGCCCTAGGCTCCCCCTGCCAGCCCCAGCCCTGGGAGTGCAGCTACCTCCCTAGCCACACCTGCCCCAGGAATCACCCTGGAAGTAAATCCTGTTTCAACATGAACACCTGTGCTCAGAGGCCAGGAGGAGAAAGTGGCAGGGGCCAGGGCATGTGCTTCACAAATCTGCAGCTCAGGGGCAGAGTGAATAGATGGGGAGCAGAGTTCCCCCAGCCCTGCCTGGGCACAGAGCAGCAGAAAGCCCCAAATGCTTGGCACATTCTCCAGAGATGGAATGGCAGGCACTTGGCAAGGAGGCACTTGGCAAGGAAGTGCAGGGGATGGGGAGTTTCCCTGGACCATGCCCAGTGGAGCCCTAGGGACACAGTGGGAGAGTAAGCACAGGGTCCTAGAAAGTCCATACAGAGGGCCTAGTGCCTGAGCACATGGCTGCTTCCCCAGTCACCCCACATAGAGTCAGGAAATGGCCCTGCCTCTCTGCCAGCCCTGGGCCCCTCCCCTCTGCACTGCTAACCTGATCCCTTGCACCATGCCTCTTCTGATGCCCCCAACCTGTGCCTCTTCAAACCCTGCTCTGCTCAAGGTGACCACCTTCACCTGTCACTCACCACTCCTTTAGCAAACTTTTCTGAGTACTAACTATGTGCAGGGGCCATGCGGTCCCGCCTGGATGCCACCACCTGCCAGATCTGGCTGAGAGCCTCTAGACAGTGCATGCCTGGGATCCAGATCTTTCTCCACCCACAGGGCTCAGCCAGGAGGGAGCATCTCATGCCACATTCTGGGTTTGTTCCCAAGCAATGGCTCCTGAAGCTGGGCTGGCTGATTTAGATCCAGTCACGATGGATGCCTCCCAACCCTGCAGGTTAGCACCAGCATCTCCCAGGGTCAGGCCAATGCTGTAAGCCTAGACTGAGGTCACACCACTTCCCAATCCCAACCCCTCTTCCCAGTACACACACACACACACACACACACAAACACACACATGGTCAGGAGCATGACCTCTCCCGTGGCATATCTTAAGGTCAGCCAGAGCTGGTTTTATTCCAGGCTCAGTAATTGTGTGTCCTGGACCAAGTCACTTCACCTCTCTAAGCTCCAGTTTCCTCTTCTGTGAAAACAGAGTAATCCTGATCTCACAGAACAATTACGACGATGTAATAACAAGCTAACACTAATGAGTATTTACTAGGCATGGTTCTATATGCTTTACATGTACTTTTATTACTCCCATTTCTACAGATGAGTAAACAGGTTCAAGAAGGTTAAGTAACTTGCCCAAGGTCACACCATCAGTAAATAGAAAAGCCAAGCTTTGCAGCTGGGCCATGAGGCTCCAGAGCTCACGATATACTCCCCATCTTGCTTGTAAACCGACATAGAGACAGCACCTGGCACGGACCCTAACACATACAAAGTCCCAGCATTTGATCTCCCCTCCGGCTCCCATGAGTTCACTTAATAACTCTTGTGAACACCCTTGGGTGATACTCTGCAAGCTGTTACGGGGCAGGGTCCCTGCTCTGGGGCTGGTGGTGGGGCAGGGGTTGCATCAGTCCAGGTCAACCTATAACATTACAGTGTCCTCTCAGCCCCCACCCCAAGCTGCCGGAGGGCAGGGCCTGGATCTAATTTCTTTGCTGCTATATACTTAGTACCTAGAACAGGGCCAGGCACACAGCTGGTGCTCATTATTTGCTAACCCCAACTGAGTGCTTACTTTGTTCCAGACGCCATTCTAAACACCTTACGAGCCTGGTCTTATTAAAGCTTCACAGCAACCTCATGAGGTGGGTATCATTACCACCACCGCTTTTACAGAGGAGGAAACCAAAGCAGAGAGAAGTTAAGCAATTTACCTGATGTCCCGTGTAAGAGGTGGCAGAGCCGGGATTCAAACTCTGGTTGAGTCCCTGATGTTAACTACGTCATATTACTGCCTTTTGCAATAAATGTTATGTTGAGTGAATAAGTGAATCCACTATGCACGCTCTCTGAGACTCAGGGCTCTGGGATAGTCACCCAGCCTCAGGCCATGAGTTCTGCTCCCTCCCAGGTTCAGCCTCGTACAAGATGGACTGTGACCCACCCCAGCCAGCCCCCCGACACCAGCCGGCCACCCACCTTGCCGAGAAAGTGCTTCCGGTAGATGCGGGCTGTGGGGTTGCACTCGAGCTTCACCTTGGTCGTGGGCGACTGCAGTGGCTCTGTCTCGGGGATGCTGGTGATTTCGTGGTTGGTGCCTTCAATCCAGTAGCCCCCAAACTGAGGCAGCAGGATGAGGGGGAAAGGCCCTTCTCGCCCCAGGACCTAAAGGGGGACTCAGCTGAGAGGCAACCCATACTCTACCCCACTGGGAGCCCCAGAACACCAACCCGTACTGTACCCCACTGGGAGCCCCAGAACACCCTTCCAACTCAGACCTGAGGCCACTTCTAGGGTACAACCCAGAGCCTACATGGGCCCCTCTGGGGTACCTGCTCCAGCCCTTTCCCTCCCAGACCCACACAGTACCAAGCCCCGTGTCCCAGTCTCAAAGGATGGGGATGGGCGGTAGGTAAAGCTGGGAGCATGACCTTGGCCCAGGAGGCTGAAACATTTAGCTCAGAAGGCCTAAGTGTTCAAACAGGCTCTGGAGTCAGCAAGGCCTGTAGTCAGGCTCCCGAGAATGAGAACCCTGGTGTCCAGATGCCCTGTGTGAGGGCATCCCCAGGCTCGAGGTAAGGATGGGCTCGGGATCCGGCCGGGTACCTCGTGGACGCTCGGGTAAGGAATGTAGTCCTCCTCCGTCTGCGAGACACAAGCGGGACAGAGGCCCAGCTAGGGTGGGCTCCTCACCCTTCACACCTCCCAGTCTCCCCAGAACATGCCGGCTGCCTATGGGGCAGAGGTCTCATCTCCCCATCTTACGGATGGGGCAGGGGCTGGCCTTGGGGTGACCCCACAAGGCCGGAGTCTAGGCAGGCTGAGCTCACTGAGCATTGCATCTTCTAGGTCTCCTTCTGCCTAGGGAAAGTTTCTCCTGCCTCCCCAGAAGAAACTTCTGGACGACTCGGAGGGCTGCTAAACACAGATTGCTATACCTCACCCCCAGAGTTTCGGATGCATCAGGACTGAGTGGGGCCCAAGAATTTTTATTTCTAACAAGCTCTCAGGCGGCACCGTTGCTGCTGGTCTGAGGCCCACACATTGAGAACCCTGCCCTGAACGAGGCCTCAGGCTTATTGCCCATGAACCCTCCTTTAACCCTCACCCCTGTAGCCCTGCACCCACTCCCCCAGGTCTAGCTGCTGGTCTTCCAGCATTGCCGGGGTCTGAAATCATCAAGAACCATATGCTGATCTGCACAGCACCACCCCTCAAGAAAATTCTATCAAAAAAAGAGGCTCCCCTCATCAACTTCGGTCCCCAGCCTCCTGTCAGTCCCCTTGTGGGTATCCCTCTCACTGCCCCCAGCCAGGAACTTCATGAAGTAGGAGCTCATGGGCCTCCCAGGTCCCGGGTTTGAGTCTTCCTGAAACTGCTGATCATAACCGCCTTCAGGGAAAACATTCACAGCATCTGTCTTTGGAGGGATGGGACAGCCTGGACAGGCTGGGTGAGTTTGCAGTGGTGAAGATGGGGTGGGGAGGAGCTGGGATGAAGCCCCCACCTTATGGCATGGGAGGGGCTCCCCATATCTCAGAACTCCTAGGGCAGAGGCTGGGTAGATCCTGCTCTCCCCATGGCCTCGGCACCTGGCATGCAGTAAGACTACTTCATGGAAAGGTGGTAGACACCCTGGGCCGCCTGCAAGCTGTGGCAGCACTTCCCAGACCTCCCCCCGCCCTTTGAGAGGAGGGGGTCTGCTCAGGAAGCAATCGCCTGGCCACCTACTTTGAGGGGTGGTGGGAAGGAGCATCGTTGTTCATCCATCCTGCTTCCCTGCAAGAGAAAGCAACACCCCGTTACATCCCTCCCATGCCTGCAGCCAGGAGCTGCCTCCCCACCCTGTGGATGTGGGGGTGCTCCCAGGGCAGGTGCTGGCCAGCAGGCTCCTCAGGCCTCTCAGAAGGGCTGCTGGCTGTCCTGGTGGTGACCTGGGCTGATGGAGGCGGGGGTAGCAGGGAGGGGCTGGGGGCCCTGTGTGGGAATGCACGTGCCGCTGGGAGTGGGGGCAGGGTGGTGTGCACATGCCTGTGAGTGGGAAGGGGGTACCTGTGTCTACACAGATACGTGTGGGGGCGGCGGGGAGAGAGAGAGGTGGAGACAGAAAGATTAAAAGAAGCAGAGACACAGGAGGGGCAGGAGAGGGCAGGGTTTTGGAGGTTTCCAAGGATTGACCAAGCCACCCCTTTGCCCACCTCCTGACACACACCCATGCAAAAAACAGACAAAGGTTGTAAGGCCAGGGCTAGACGGTAGAGGGTGGGCAGAAGTCAGGCATGGCAGGCTGCACTCCAGTCTGCCTGGCTCATTAGCACCTCCCCCACCTGCAGCACGGCCACTGCTGACAGGAGTCCTGGCATCTGTCCTCTCTTCCTATTCTACATGGGGTCCTGCAGATGCCTCTTGTGGGGTAGGGATGGTGGGGTGGGGGGGTGAGGAGCTGACCCAGCTCTGCTGGGGACCTACACAGGGATGGAAGGTGGGAGCCTGGTTGGACCCCAGGGTCACAGAGAGGGTTGGCCACTACAGTCCCCATCCTCCACCCTGACCCCCAGATAGAGGACTATGGACAAGGAGTTGCGACTATTTTCTCCTGACATGGTCTGCTGAGGGCTCATGGCCTGTCCTCAGAGAGGTATAGGGCTGGAGCTATATTAGGGGCCCCCAGCGCCAACCTCGCCACCTCCGTGGCTCCGCAGAACAGGCTACAGAGCCATTCTCACCTGCATCTTCTCAATCATCTCAAACAGATCTGTGTTCTGCAACAGAGATGGGGGAGGGCGAGGTCAGTCCCAAGGGTGCCCCCACTGCTCCTGCCAAGCCCCAGAACAGTCTCCACCCACCCCAGCCCTCCTGGTCCCCCCAACTCTGACCAACCACTGGGGCACCTGTCTGAGCAGCAAGAGGCAGGGGAGCGGGCATCGTGTAGTGGACCCGCAGAGTTTGACCAGCTGCCAAGAGAGGTGAGCCCAAGGCCCATGGCCTGGGTCCTGAGCAGCCCACCCCACTGAGTCCTCTTCTCTCAGAGTGAGGAGGCTGCCGTCCTTGGGGAGGGACAGATGCTCCTCCCTTGTCACAGCAAGGTTAGCAGTGCCAGGATCAGCACATGGACCCCTCAGAAGAGCTCCAGGTCCCAGCCCCTAGATAAGTCCAGCCGGGATCCCCAGGAGGGCCTGTGATTCTACCCATCTCTCCCAAAGAGGGTGAGGCTCAGCAAACCCAGGCCACAGGCCACAGTTCAGACAGTCCACTGTCTCCCCAAACAGTGTGGGCTGGGGGGCTTTTGGAGGAAGAGGATGCTGGGATGCCCATTGGCCCAACACCTTGTGCGAACCCACACGCACTCTCCCATGCTCGGGCCAGCCTCTCCTAGGCTAGCCAGGGCACACGCAGAGTTAATCCGGCGTCTGCCAGCTGCACTTGGCAGTACTGGCCTCTCCAGCGCCAACTCCCTACGAGCCTTCCTGGAAGGCGGCATCCCTACTGGCTGGCGGGGCTGGGGGCTGGGCCTGGGAAGCCCCCAGAGCCTCCAGGATGGCGTCCCTCCCCCAACCCCTCCAAGGCTCAACTCAGGCGGCTCCTGCTGCCCAGCGGGGGAGCACTGCCTGAGCTCACACACATGTGCTATGGGGTTGTGCACCAGGAAACACACACACACTCTCTCTCTCTTCCCCTCCTGCTCTCACACACACAGAGGCCTGCATGCCAATATTTAAACAGTCTCACTGCACCATGCATATGTTTTGTGTACCAAGAAAGCAACACACATGCACACACACGCACACAGATCCATGGCATCTGTGCACACTGGTTTTTAGACTCAGAGCTATACACCAACACACAAATAAACATGGTGTCCCGAGTTACACAACAGCACACCCACTCAAACACACATGGGTCCATGTACCACGAGAGAGACACACACAAATGCAAACCCACACCTGTGCAGGTCTGCACACAAGTAATTGCACATGAAGATATGCTAACACCATAAAGCCATTCTCGTGTCTGAGACCAAGAAACACGATGACATGCGCTCACAGATAGAGGCAGACATGTCCAGGGACACTCAGACACAGGGCTCCCCTTTCTTCCCCATCAGGGTCACACACCCTGTGCAACAGAAATGACAAACACTATGCCACAACAGTAAGGAGATTTCTGAGAAAAGGAAGAAGCATCGGGCAACTGCAGGAGCCGTTAATCCCCAAGGATGAGAGGCACAGGCCTGAACCTCACACACCGCTCACACATGCACACACACACACACAGAGCCCCGTGTAAGGTCACGAGACACAGACACCCCAGGTGCACACTCAGAGGTCTGCCCACAGAGGCACGACCCGCCCTGTAAAATCCACCACAGGAGTCCACAGGAGAACCTGACCCACGGTCACCTATGCCACACCCAACACCTCTGAGTTTGGAAGAGACAATTCCACAGGCGGTTACAGCAGAAACCACAAACACACACCTGCAGTCCAGGTGGACGAATGTGTCTGTTAACCCAACACACAGTACAACAACGACACTGGCATTAGGCCTGGAGCAGCCACACGACCTCAGACTGGCATGGTCTCATAAAGACACAGTGATGAGGGGCATGTTAAGGACCCCAAGGCACCCCATTCAGGGTAACCAAACATAGCTAGGAACAATGAAATACGCTTTGCTGTGCCAGGAGTCACAGTCACACAAACACTGACACATGGTACTGTCACCCAGAGCGTACACACAGCAACAAGTAACACCCACAGTTACAGCCTCACAGGGAGCAGCAGACGCCCTGACACATGGAGAAGGCTGTAAGTGATGTGGCCCAGATGGGCGCATCCCCGACATGACATGCAGAGCACCACCACCAAGTTACAGGGCAACATTCACAATCCCCCCCAAAGCGAGCAGGGGAAGGGTAAAGTGGCCCTGACAGTAGTTCACACACACAAAGTGCCACTGCAGCCCAGAGCCACAGTGCCACCACGGGCAGTCAGTTCCGTGGACAGCTGCAGAAAGAGCCCCAAGGCCCAGGACCCCAGGGCAGGAGCGCGCCTGTGGCCTCCCAGAAGCTCACACACCCACCATGACCTTGCCTCGCACACCCGCCCCGGCTCGGGCACAGCTTGCCGGGCTCCGAGGAAGTCGGGCTGTCCCCGGTCCCAAGGACTCCCTCGGTCGGGCCGCCCGGCCCGGGTCCTCACCTGCCAGCCGGCCCCAGCGGGCAGCGAGCCCCTCCGCGGACGGCCGGGGGGCGCAGGGG